AGTGGGCTTTCGCTTTCGATGGGGTTGAGGGACTGCAAACAGAAGAAACCACGGACCTCTGCGTTTGACCAGCTCCAAGATAACCCATCATCCCAGAAGGGGAACCTGAGGGAAAAGCTTCGGGAACGAAGAAAGGAGTCCTCAGCAACGTCCAAAGCCCACTCAGAGGGGAGGCAAAAGGCGATCGTGGACTAGGACACGGTCAAGCTGTGGAAGACAATCGACCGACTGGAGAAATGGTTGGACGCCCGAAATCCCTATCGCCAGGCAGTTTTTGATGAAGTAACCCCCTTCTCAAAGAGGGTAATGTCATGCCCTATCCCCGAAAATTTTAAGACCCCTCAAATCAAGGTGTATAACGGGACAATCGATCCCCAGGATCACCTAGCACGCTTTCAGGCAAATGTGGTCATGTATGCATACCCGGAGGAGAATGTTTGATCCCCAAGGGCACTGGCTGAAACCTCGTTGTTAAGCTATATGGTGGAAACGTTTGATGCGCAGGAGAACGAGGAAAACCAGGCGGCCGAGTTGCATTTGATAGACGAGCGGAGAGAAAGGGCCTACATCTAGGCGGAGAATTATCGCCGTCAAGTCAAGTGGTACCATGATCAGAGGGTGCGACCAAGGGTATTTAGGATGGGCGATTGGGTCCTAAGGAAAAGAGAAGTTAGCCGACTGACCGATAGTGGAAAGTTCGCAAAGAGCTTTGAAGGGCCATACCTCATAAAGGAAGTGATGGCTGACTGAACGTACAAATTGCAAACCCCAACGGGAGGAGATGTCCCGCGGGTATGGAATAGTGTCAATCTTATTAAGTTTTATAAATAATTTGTACCCTTCCTATGATCTGCCTTTGAGCTCAATAAAATTGGCATTTTGCAACTTCTCGATTTCGTCTCCTTTCTCGAGTAAAAAATAGGAGAGACCAAAGAGGATCGCTACAAGAGACCATGTGGTGATTCGTATTAAGTTACCTTCCTATGAAGCGAAGTTTTCAACCCAATGGCGCTTATTGGTCGCCTGAACAACCACTGGTTGGCGCGACCCATAATACAGTGTTTCGTACTAATAAGACCTCCAAGGAGGGCGAAGTACTGGACCGAACGGTTGCCCGGATGACCGGAAGTTGGCGCGATCATGAACGTAAAGAAAAACAAGACAACGCCAGGGCGAGAAAGCCCCAGAAAAGGCTAAGTCAAAAGAAGCAAGAGGTTTCCTCAACCGAAAGGTGAGGCGGCCTAAATGCAAAAGACGAGGCTTAAACAACACCAAGCTAAGTCTATGAAATGGAGTGGGACTTGTCAAAAACTGATTAGATAGGTAACACCAAAATTCACTTATGAAAACATCCATTACACATAAAAATCGCTTCATACATTTGCATATTCGTTACATTAAGAACATTCTCATACATCCATGAGGAAAAATGTTGGCCATGTATGCAGCAATTGTCTCGTGGCATAGGTTATGTAGGTCAAGTCACAATCGAATGTCGTGGGCGCTTGTGTGTTGAATGCACTATAAGGCTAGGGTATACGCCTCTTCTAACACCAATTGGTTTTAGAAGAGTTGGTAGCGCCTGAGGTCCTACAAGTGGTATCGGAGCCAAGGTCACGAGTTCGATTCCCAGCGAGAGCAATTACTGAGGGGGAGATTGTTGGCCATGTATGTAGCAATTGTCCCGTGGCGGAGGCTATGTGGGTCAAGTCACAATCGAATGTCGTGGCGCTTGTGTGTTGAATGCACTATAATGCTAGGGTATACGCCTCTTCTAACACCAATTGGGTTTAGAAGAGTTGGTAGCGCCTGAGGTCCTACAAAAAGTCCATAACACCAGAGCATATACATGCGACAAAAATTGAAAAGGAAAAAGGCGAGGTGAAGGGTAGCTCTGTAGCCAATGGCTGTGCAAAACCCCAACCACCACCTGTGGCAGACACCCACCTTTCTTCTCCCACATGGAAAGGGGATGGGCGCCCACCACTGGTGACAAGCACCCACCTTCCTTCTCTTGTGTATGTTGAAACACGGGTTTATCACTTCATTGTACTAAAGCCGCGTCCGTTTTTATGACAGGTTTTGATAATGCCAAACCACCATGAACGAGACCAGTTGTTGAATATACAAGGTGAGAAATAAATATGAGAAGAAACCAAGAGAACAAGAGCTAAAAGAGACCAAGAACGAAGACCGTAGGTTTTAGTATCGTTGAGTCGGTCCTATTGTGATCAAGACCGACCCAAACTTTATACTTTGGCTCTTTAGGCTAAACCATCTTTTTATTGCATTTTCATATCATCAAAATGTTTTTCAAAATGATTTTCAAACATGTTTAATCATGCCAAAAACACTTGGGGTTCGTCGAAACCGAATCGGTCAGCTATTGACAGTCCGTCGGGTTCCGGCTATAGGCATTAATTTTCGGCATTCAAACCAACCAAGTGGTTTTCAAGCCTTTTTGAGTAGGAATTGTTTTTGAATGCATTTAAATGGTTCTCCAATCAAAACAACATGAAAACCACCTTTTGGTTTTCGTCTTTTGGTAAAAACCACCCGTGTACGGTTTTGACTTGGTCAACCGTGGTTTTTACCTTAACGACGTGGTTTTCAACTTACAAAGCTTGTTTTGACATCACAATACATGAAATAAGTGTTTTAAACACTTGGTTTTTATTTTGGAGAACTTCATATTTTATCGGTCGGGTTTCAGTATCGGTCAGGTTGCAGCATCGGTTGGCTTGGCCATGGTTCAGGCAAAAACCATAGGTTTTTGGACCAACCATCAACCCAGCGATGGGAGATATTACCCATCGATGGGTAAGTGTTCCTTTAGCTCAGCTGGATTTCAGAACCATGCCACACAACGATGGGGAGTTCCACCCATCGCTGTAGAAGCCTTGGTTCAACAGTAACACAAGGCAGAATGCCCCTACCCAGCGGTGGGGTCTTTTACACATCGCTAGTCATCCAGCGATGGGAGGGTATACCCATCGCTGGTTAGGCATGACCGTTGGAAGGCATTTAAACTTGATTCTTTCCTTGTTTGAAAGTCAACCTCCCATCCAACGATGGGAAGTGCTTACCCATCGATGGGTAGGTGACTGTTGTCTTTAAAATTGAAGGAAAAATGGCTTACCAGTGATGGGTAGATCTACACATCGCTGGGTAGGCTGATTTCCTGCAGATCCACATTTTGATATCAATCCCATAAATTATGCTGATCACCCCTTAAATGTTTTGATCCGTTGGTTCCTATTTTGGCACTATAAAAAGGGGTGTTTGGGTCTGTATTACACATCTAATTCACTTCACATTACACACATTATCATTGCATTCATATAACATCTTTTTCCCATAGATTTCTAGAGTCAAAATTGTGTGAAGTTTGAGTTGTTTTTGAGCGTATATATTTTACTCAACTTCTACTCTTAAAGAGAGTCTTGTTCTTGAGGTATTAGTGTTCTAAGACACGTTGAGAGAAAGTATTTCTCTCGTTTGATTCAAAGGAAGGGTTGTTTCCTTCGAAGGACTTGTTGAGGTTCGTGTAACTCGAATTCTCAAGTTCTAAGGATTTGTTTAGCACTGTTAAGCTTAACGAGGATTACCGTAACTTGAGAGAGTCTCTTGGGAGGCTGGACGTAGCCACACGTTGTGGTGAACCAGGGGTAAAATTGGTGTGCCTCTTACTCTTCTCTTTACTTTTCCTTTAAATTTTTTATTCTGCGATTTTTGCGATCAAACTCTATTCACCCCCCTCTAGCATTGGTCAATTATTCTAACAGTGTAGAAGGAATGGAGGGGTCACTCGCTCTATGAGCCCCAATCAGCATCATCCCTCGATGAGGATGCAAACCCTGGAGCAGCAGGAGCTACTCCTGGTCGCTTAGGGGCCCTCTAGGGGAATGAGGGGCCAGCCAAAGGTTGCTGGGAGGAATCCAATTCTTCCCCTGCAACAGCAACTTGACCAGGTCGCTTCGGTGAGTTAGTGAGACTTTCGTTAGTCCACTGCTCCAGACGTGTGTAGTATGCTACTTCATGCTCCAAAAGGGGTAAATGTTCATATTGCACGCTCTTCCAAGCTGCGTAATGCCACTTATGGATAAGACAAGGAGCGTCCCAATCCACCTCCCCGTAGGGTAGGCGGTTGCCAAAAGTGCCCTAGATGCCACGCTAAAGTCGTCATAAGGGTTTGGCGGAATTGGCGTCGTCTTCACCGACGGCCACCGCCGGCGATTGAGACGACGGAAAAACTCGTAGGGATCTAGCCCTCCCCAATCGTTGGAATTAACGGACTTGGGGGAAGTGGCAGATTCTGGCAAAGAAAGAGAAGGCCCATCAGAAAGATTCAAGGAAGTGGGAGTTTCTCGAGACATGGCAAAAGGCAATCACGAAATGTTGGAAATGGGACTTGTGATGGAAGAAGCAAATGGAGTAAGGGGGGCTTATAAAGAATCCAAGGCGGAAAAATCAAAGGGGCGGCCAAGTCCCAATGCAGCTGAATCGATAAAGTTGCATCGAGCAGCGAAACGGCCCAATCAACTGCCGAAAGTGATGCAATAGGTCAGTTGGGCAGCGCGTCAATAAGCCATTTAACTAGGCTCGCCATACAAGTGGGCTAGGAAAAGAGGATTGGGCCCGGGCCTATTCCTAGTTCAAAACGGACCAAGACAAAAAGGAACGTAACAACAAATTCCAAGGCAGATATAAGCTATAATAGCAGTTAGAAACAAAGAAAAAAGAAACAAGTGTGCAAGCGTTACATCGACAAGAAAACCATGCAAGTAGTTCAAAGTTTTTACAAGTCTTGAAGCAATAATACAAGTAAAGGAGGAAGAAGAGGTCGATCACACGCTCGAGCTGGTACCCTCTCCCGCCTTTGCCAACAAAGAGTTGATCCTCATTTCTTGGTCGCCCTGCCCATCTTGGTCGCCAGGAGTGGTCATCTCATCCTCTCCTTCAGATTCATCTGGATCCTCTTCCTCCATTTAGGGGGTGGGATCGAACTCGGCAAGCGTGTCGCAAGGTGGAGGAAGGCCAAAGTAAGGGAGAGAAGTCCCTTTGGGGAGCAGAGCTAGCTAACTACGGAAGACCTGCTGGGCCCAGAAGAATCCGCAGCGAAATGCCTTCTTCGCCTCCCCGACCATCCAGTCGGTCCCGGGCTCGGTCTCGATCCACTTAAGGGTTAGTTTGTCCATCCGCCCCATAGCGACCGTAGTGAACTTGGGGAAGTCTTGAAGGCCTCGATTCCCTCCTCCAAGCGACGAGCCGGGTCGCCCTTCTCAGCTTCCAGCTGTTGAACCAAGTCAACCTTCTCCCCTTCCAGCTCGACCACCCGAGCAGAGATGAACCCCACTTCGGAGGAGAGTGAGGTTTTCTCCTCCTCTATTCGGGCAGAGTGACTCTTCTCATCCGACAACTCCTTCGCGAGGTTAGAGCTGCGTTTCTTCTCTTCCGTCAGCTCCCTCGCGAGGCGAGCGACCTCATCCTGCAAGTCCTTCTGCTTAGGCTCGGCTGCCTCCTTCATCTCATCCGGAGCATATTGATGATCTTGCGCCCGGCCGGCAAGCTCGATTATCACAAGCGAGGCCTGAACCAAAACGTGAAGGACCAAGAATATATGACAAGGTACGGGGCAGAAAAAGAAAGGGGATGGAAAGGAAAAGAAAGTCGAGACGGATAACTGACCGAGCTTCAGTAGAACCATGTTGGCCAGGTCGCTGTAAGAGCTAGCTGAGATGCGAGCCCGATCATGGGCCGGAAGCGTGATCAAAGTCTCAAGCTGGACATCCCCCAGGCTCGGAGACGGATGGGGGATGCTAAGCTTCGTCGAGCCACCCTCGGTTGCCACCTCGTAGGTCAGCATAGGTGGAGAGGGAGGTCGCTCCAAAATGGGCCCCCGGGACGACCCAACCAAGTCGCTCTCTGGAACCGTGGTTTGCGGTAAGGAGCTAGTCGCCATCATCCCCGTCTCCGGGGTTTCCTCATCTTGGTCCTCCAGCTCAATCACCACCTGATCAAGCTGGGAGTGATCCTCAGAGCTTGAGGATGGACGCTTGCCCTTGCCCTGGTGGGCTGTTTCTCTCTTCCTCTTCTTTCCTCCCACGTGATGGCCCAGCAGTCGGTCTCCCTCCATCTCCTCACCTAATCCCTCATGTTCAACTGGAAACGGATAAAATGGTTAGCGTGCGAAGGGCAATGTTGAAACACCTAGCTAAAAGGGGAAGAGTTTACGAAAGGGACCACAGTCGGCGCTCCTCCCGTGGATATCCCTCAGCAAATTAGGGTGGTGGCGATGTTCGTCCCTAACGAACTCGAACCCAAGCTCAACGACGGACTCCTCGGTCAGCACCGATCTGATATCAACAACTTCCTTGTTGTGGAGCTTTCTAGTGATGGATAGGAGTTTAGCGTTTGGCTTGGGAGGTGTAACGCGACGGAAGGATGGGTGCCCAGAACCCGTGAAAGGAGATTTGGGCCCATGGAAACAAGGACAAAATAGGGCTTCCAATCCTTGGTCGACCCCTTCTTGTCGCTAGTAAAAAGCTTACTCGACCACTGAGAGAGGCTGGCATAGGAAGCCCAATCCCCATGGCCTCTGGCCAGCTTGAAGGTGAAAAGGAAATGGTCTAGGGTGGGTTCCACCTTGGCTTCTTGACACATAATCAAGTAACCGGCGATGTACCGATGTGAATTCGGGACTAGTTGGCAGGGAAGGAGGTCCACCTCGTTGAGGAACTCCACCAACAGAGAATGCAAAGGGAACCGTAGTCCCTATTTCAAAGAAGCCAAGTGAACAGTGAAGAACCCTGGAGGGGCGTCCAGGGCGATCTGGGTTTTGCTGGGCCGCCGGACTTCAATGGAGGGGCCGACCATGTCAGTGGCGTCGGCAAACCCGTGGTCAGAGAGCTGGAAATGGCATAGGGCCATGATGTTCTCCTCTAACTCAACCCTAGGGCCCCGTAACACAAGGGTCGAGGAAGGAAATTGTTTCTTCAGCCAGTGCAGCTTCTAGCCGGGCGCCACCGCCGATGACGGTTGACGAGAACTGGATTGGCCTTGAACTTGGCCAGAGGGGGGCGGTTGATCGGCCTGATGAGGGCTGGATAGTGGGGAAGCCGAGTCTGAATCCGAAATAATCATGATAGCGAAGGGAGAACTGACCTGGAGATTGGGGAAAACGGGTCGGGTTGCAGCGAAAGAGTGAATTGATGCAGGTAGAGACAAAAATGGCGTCCAACGGCGATTTTTATCAAAGTGAAGTGGAAGGCGAAGCATCGGGCCATGATTGCATTTGAGGGGGATCGTGCCAACCATCACGCGAAAACCAGGAAACGGCTCTGATCCACTGAGGAGGTGCCCACGTGGACCTCGTAAACTCCCCATCCCTCAACGTGGCCCGTCTGAGGAATGAGGAGTTGGGGGCTTGTGATGGGCCGATACTCAACGGGCGGCCCAAACATCGCGCCTGAATGGCGCTGGGTCACTGGAGCGGGCATGCAGCGGTTCTGGGCCGGCCCAAGAGCTTGGGCCTGGACGAGCCCAATGAAGCGACAGCTGGAGGAGCCCAAATCAGGGGAGGAAACTCAGCTATATAGCCGAAGAAAGGGGATCGCGCCATTGGCGGATGAGTCTCCTTGAATTGTGAACTACCATAATTACTTAGAAATCATGTACGTATAAATAGAGAGGACCCAAATGCGGATCCTCAAGCTGGATCAATCAAATAAACCTATAATTCTCGAGTTCTTGCTTATTGTTAATTCTTTCGATCCGCCGTTCTAAGTCGGATCATTTAATTTGGTGGATTTATTGTCCATCAATGCCAATTCAGCACATCAATGCTTCTGCTGTATTTTCGGAGTGTGAATTGCCCGGAAATTCACCAATGGAGTAGACATACATGCAATCTTTTAAAACCATAACAATTTAATAGTTAAGTTTTAAAAATATGAGAGATTTTAGTGCTTATTTCCTAAAGTATGGGGTAATCAGAGCTATTTAGCCCTCAAAAATTGTGAGCTGGCTGCCCTCAAAGGTTGGGGGGAAAAAATGAATCTCGTGCTGGACCCTACTCACATCTATTTGACTATTTTTGTGGAGGTCTTTGTTGTTTTAGCTCTTTGTAAGTTGGTACCACTTGACTGAGTGGCGATTCTAGTGTTGCCAACCTTGCTGTGATCAACTCACACAAGTTGTTTCAAAGTCAAAACCACAACCTTCTCAATCCTTCTATAGTTCTTTTTACTCCGTATGCTCCCCAGCAGGCAACAACACTGTTCCTTTCTGCCTTTTTGGGCATTCCTTTTTTAAATAAAATATAATGGGCCTACCGCTCTGCTTAAAGGTATCGCAATTTCTTTTCTCATCCTCCCATTTCTACTTATCCCTCATATAAATATGTATTTATATTATTTTTGATGAAATTTAATACTCACTCCGTCCCATAAAATTTTTTTCTTTTTTTTCATTCGTCTAGAAAAACTTTTCTCTTTTCTATTAAAAAGTCACTTTTAATACCCTTTCTTATTCTTAACATACCTATCACATCACACTTTTTTACTACTAATCTACCTATCACATGTACTTTTAACTATCACATCCAAGGACATATTCGGAAAGTCAACACTCAAATACAATTCTTTTAAATCTCTTAAAATTCAAAACAATAAATATTTTGTAGGGCAGACGGATTAGAAAACATTAAAAAAATCTAACTGTATTGCAAATAAAAAAATAATTATGAACCTCTTATTCCTCTCCTAAAAGGAAAATACATGTTAAAATTATGGATAAAGCTACTTGTACCCCAAATTTGTGTACCCATTTGTACACCGCAGGTTTGTACCGACATTTTGTGTCGGTGTAAAACTAATTTTTATTAACGCACCAACACTTTGTGTCCGTGTAAATTTTTGTTAACGCACCAACGCTTGTGTCGGTGTAAACCATCAAAATGTTTATGCATAACTGCGATGTACAAATGGGGTACAAATTTTGGTGTAAGTGTAGCATGGTCCTAAAATTATTCTGTAAAAAATACTCTGGTAACAAAGAAAAGTGGGAACATGTTTGAGAGAGGAACGGACAAAAGAGTCCGTTGCCGAATGCTGAGTGCTGACATATAAATCTATAATACCAAGTTGTTCAGTCTACTTGAATACACATCAGTCCAACAGTGAACCCATGTTGTCACTATTCACACTTCATTTTTATTCCTTGCGAAATTATCAAGTATTTGTTCTAATTTAACTTTTTGGGATCAATCAAAATTAATTTTTAGGAAAAATTACCCAAAATAATCCCAATTTTACCCGAGTTTTCAAAAATAATCCCACCTTTCACTGTGATGCATAATAATCCCAACTTTACTGAAATTTGCCAATTTTGGGTCGCCGTTAAGTGTCTAACGGAGGGTTAACGGAAATGCCCATTTTGGGCAACAAAATGAAAGTTGGGATTATTTTTGATGAATTTTTGTTTTTTAATTTTTTTTTGAAATTTTTTATTTAAATTTTTTGAATTACTTTCTACCTCCATCATCATTTCTTTTTCTTTTTTAAAGATTAGTCTTAGTTTAAAAAATAAAAATAATAGATATAAAAAATGAAAAAATGATACCATTAACTTACCCTACAATATTTATTTTCTATTTTAATTTAGAACACTTACAATTTTTACACATGTCCTGTAAATTATAGTATTAATTTTAGAACACTTACCGTTGTGACACGTTTCCATACTTATAGTATTAATTTATAATTGTTTTTAATTTTTTTTATTTAAATGGTACCATTTACTTGGTGTACCATATTTATTTTTAAATTTATTATCTAACACTTACCATTTTTACACGTTTCCATGCCTGTAAATTATAATATTAATGAATAGTATTAATTTATAGTTTTTCTATTTTATTTTTGTATTGAAATTGTACCATTTACTTACCGTACCGTAATTATTTTCTAATATATTTTAGAATACTTACCATTTTGAGATTTATTTTATTTTCTAATTTATTTAGAACACTTACCTAAATTATTTTAGAATACTTACCATTTATTTTATTTTCATGTTTAAATGATACCATTTGCTTATCGTACCGTACCATATTTATTTTCTAATTTTCTAATTAGAACACTTACCATTTTTTAAAAGTTTTCCTGTTTGTAAATTAGAGTATTAATATTAATTTGTATTTTTTTATTTTAATTTCGTTTTTGAATGGTACTAATTGCTTACCGAACCACATTTATTTTCTAATTTATTTTGGAACAATTACCATTTTTAGATTTATTTTACTTTTTATTTTATTTTATCACACTTATCTAATTTATTTTAGAACACTTACCATTTATTTTATATTCATGTTTAAATGGTGCCATTTGCTTACCCTACCATACCGTATTTATTTTCTAATTTTCTAATTAGAACACTTACCATTTTTAAAATGTTTCCATGCTTGTAAATTACAGTATTAATATTAATTTGTACTTTTTTATTTTGTTTTCGTATTTAAATTTTATCATTTACGTACTGTACCATGTTTATTTTCTAATCTATTTTAGAAAACTTACCATTTTTACACGGCCATGCCTGTAAATTATAATATTTTTTGAAATAAATCATTCTAATCTCGCCCATACTTTACTAATTTGTAGTTTTTATTTCATTTTCATATTTAAATGGTACTCTATTTTATTTCCATACTATAATTTCCTAGTGGTTCACTACTATTTAATTTAATTTAAATATTTAATTGGCATTAAATTTAAATAAAAAAGAAAACATACTCCAAATGGAAGGAAAAATTGAGGCAAAATAATTAAACTATCATTTGCGTTGTCAACACTTTCCATATATGAGTCTCACATATGGGCGGGAAAACATTGAGACAACATTCTCCTCTTTTTAAATCAAGTATAGATAGTAACGCTTTTAAACATTTTTTGGATATTACCTTTCTTGCACGGAGTAATATTTCGTGCACGTGTTAAAAATGGTAGTTAATTATTTCATTTTTTGGTTATTACCTTTCTTGCTATTAAACATAAATATATATATTTAAAAGGTATTACTGTATTAATAGCCTTGATTAATATCATTGATTGACGTATATTAAATTTTAAACGAAATTTTTTCTACTCTATTTATATTTTTCC